CGTCTTTTTACACTTAAATTATGAGGTTTACGTCTATGGGTGAATTTGACAGCGACAATGTTTCGAAATTAGGAAGGGAAGCAGTGATTATTTTATTATGTAGACGCTTCGCCTCTGGGTACCCTGTATGTCTAAAAGTGAAAAGTGCTGACAACTAAATAACGTTTTCCTTACTTGCATGGGAGAGATAATATACTAATGTAGACGTAGAACACAAGATGCTCTGTGACATAACATGACTGGGTGAGGGAAAGCTTGAGGCAGTCCTGATGTGGACAGACAGGGGAACACTTTTTAAAGACTTTTGTTTACTGTGTTCTTTGCTTTTTTATGCCCTTACTACCGAGGAGAAAGTTCGAAAGTATTATTCCCGACGTCTAGTTTTCTCTTGTAAATTTGAGTACCAAGTGTTTCTCTCCTAAATACTGAGGATATTATTTATGTCATTCTTATCCCTGGATAGGAGTATAGTCTAAGTGAGTAGTTTTAATATATTTTCCCCCCTTTATTAAGGCCACTTTGTGAATATGTTATCACACTGTGACATTTATGTCATTTAATAATGCACTTGAGTTTGGAGAAATGTTTTGTAATGAACAAGGATGGTTTTGGCTCTTTTTCTTCATGGTTTAGTCTTATGTATGGTCAGTTAATTCAGAACTATTTTCCTCCCTCTAGTAGTTTAAAATCAAGTTTTAGGCCTTGATGTGTGCATTCTCTGTCTGAAAGCCGTCCTGTCTTTAGATTGACTTGAGCGTCTGTTTCTCTCCATGTCTAACCTGTCTCAGGACTATTTTATTTAAACAAAGAAATGTTTTGAAACACCAGCGAAGCATCAATCAACTTGCCATGCCATCGACAGAGCTACAATTTAACGAGACGTGTAGGCCGGATGATGAATGTGCTGAAAATCTTCAGTGTGATAATGAAACTGGCACATGTTTGTGCCTCCCCTCCTTGTACTATAACGGGAGCTCCTGTGTAGAAAGTGTCAACTCTTCTCTCAGAGCTTCAGAGAGACCCGCGCTTATTCCAATCTGGGTCCTCTCCTGCTCCCCTGTGTGAACATTGGCACAGCTACTGCATTCCTCAACCCCTACCCTTATATTATGTTATAATATGGCTGTCCTTTATTGGTGAAGACCAGAGATTTGTCCTTGTTGTTATCAAAGAAATCTTATAAGTTTGCGTAGAGTCTGTGCTCACTATTTTGACCTGTTGTATGGATAGAGTCTGTGTTTTGCTTTTGAAAAGTTGGTAGTTCTGTGGGAAAGTATGAATTGTAAACAAAATATGGAGAATCTAGGGACTAGATGATAAGTAATGGGTTCTATATAATTTTGATACAGTTTCATTATTGTTTGAGCCGTGTTAAAACATGTGACCTTCAGCAAGCAAATGAAACATACATGTATGTATAGAACAAGTTAATAACTTTAGTATTTCCATCAATGCTCCTTTGTAGATGCTTGGCTTAGCTCCCCACTGACCAGCCTTTTGGGCTTTTGTCCAACTGTTGACTGATACTTCAGCGAAGTTGACGTCCTGTAGTTTTAGGAATGTAATGTTCAAAACAAGAGTCGTGCATGATCTACTGTTTATTCATCAATGTATTTTTAATGAACAGCTTTATATTTTTCGTACTAACACCCAGTTACCCTGTCAGCTGTTTAAAAAAATTTATTTGATTAATTCTATTTAC